GGGGGGAATGCTTGATCTCAGGTCTGCATCTCAACAGTTCATGGGCGTGCAACAGAAGGCTGAATTATGTCGTTGGGCCGCACTGGCTATATCACCGGCCCCCGGTAATTCAGAAATATTTCATTCTGGTCATCTGATTGTATCTGGATTCGAACTTGGGTCTGTATTTCAACAGGTCGTGGGCGTGCAAAGTGGGCTAGGCCCGATGGAATGCCATTGGCATTTTGCCTACGGTCACGTGAAAAGCCTGCGTGTGAAAAATAGGCAAACAAAAGAACTAAAAGAACCCGCCAAGTGGCGGGCAGAGGGAAACGTGGAACAGAAAGTCCCTCCCCCCCGTTGCAGGCCCTCTTCTGATGGGCGTTTTTTTTCCTTCTTAAAATGGCATATTCGTTTTTGTTTTTTTTTTTCTGTTCTTCTTGTTTGTCGTTTGCTGGAATGTAGAAAGCATGCAATCGTGGGCAGGTGCGCACGCCTTGAAAGGACAAGCCATGCCAATCTGCCAAACACATGGAAAAAAAACAACATAAAAACAAAAAAAAATAGGTCCCGTTGGAGAGCGGCCATACAGCTCGGCTCCACTACTCACCATACGCACAAAAGACAGAAAATGTGGTGGTGTATTTTTCCATGTTGTAGCAGAAGATTCATTTTCATTTTGCGCTTGGTGAGTAGTGGACCCAGGCCCAAAGCCCCCAGAGTCATTGCAGGCGCCCGTTCTGACAGGTGCTGGTTTTTTTTTTTTTTCCCGCTGTTTTTTTTTTGAAAGTAGGATCTTCTTTTTTCGTTTTTTTTTCAGACTTGCTTCGTTTTGGGGGGCAACGTGGGGGGGAATGTAGTCATGTACTAAGCAACCTATCAAGGGAAGATACGGGCGCGTCTGATAGTGCACAGTTCGTTTGCGTTTGCTTTGAAATGAGTGCAGGGCGGGAAAAGAAAACTTAGGGCCTCCGTCCGGCCCTGTCTGGACACCACATCCAAATCTGAAAAAAACGCCCAGCATTTTTCCACAGCGGGCCAAAATGGATGAAAACGACCTGGGCCGCCTGAAAAAAAATTGGGCTACCCCCCATTTTCCCACCATCCGGACCAGGATCCGGAAACCTGGACCGGACGCTGGACGCCGGTCAGTCCGGATCCCTGTCCGGCTGTCCGGATCGTAGCTATGGGTAGAACCGAAGAAGCAAAGAGTCTCCCATTTTTGGTAGAAGCAAGCATGGTAACCAGCCGGACGTGCGGACCGGGTTCCAGACAGTCCGGAACAACATCTTGGGGTCCAGTGTCCGGTCCGTGATGTCCGGAGGGTGGCGCCCAGGAAAAAAAAAAGGGGCGGCCCAGGATGTTTTTCGTGTCCTGGCCGGCCCCTGAAAAATAACGGGATGAATTTTCGGTGTCGTTTCACCCCACCGAACAGGGCCGAGAGCCCCGGACAGAAGACATCTAAACGGCCCAAGACATCCACTGACGAGAGAGAGAGAGAGAGAGAGAGAGAGAGAGAGAGAGAGAGAGAGACCGCTGATAGTGCTGCGAGTCTGAAGACTTCGAAGTTCTGAATTGAACCTCGAAGTTTGAACTTTTAACTTATATGAAGTTATGATTCTTATGAACTGGAACATGAGCGAGAGCGATAGACAGAATTCCAAATTGCAAAGTCACGCTGTAGCCCAGATAGTGCACAATGCACCGAGTTATCAGCCAAATAAGAGCACAACAATGAACTCAAATGTCAATGTCGACACTCTCTGTCCGCACCAACACAGTATCCAATGTCGCTCTTCTTTATTGGCGCTCAGCGCCCTGCCTATCTACTCAGCACCTATCCTAGCCTACACTACGTTCATGCAAAGGAATCACTTCGTTGCCGAAGACCAATGTACGTGACGATGTTGCCAATGCAGACTGCCAGCATACACCAGGTACGTGTCTCTCTCCTCTCACATCACCCCTCGACTTCCCACAGTGTGCCCACATGACACCCAAAGACCCCCATCACCATCACCAACCTTCGCTGAGCAAGCCCGGCTATGGCTGCTCAGCGCCCGCTGCACCAGCAGCGCCCAACACCACAATGCGTCCGTAGCGCTCAAACCAGCAGCGCTGCCGCCAGCAAGCACACGGCCAGAAATGCCCTCTGGCTGCCGTGCTCACTTTCCTTTATGGAAAGTGAGCTCTGCCTTGTCGAGCTCTGGGCCTGGCTGGGCGAGTTTCCAGTAGCTTCCAGTCGGGCCCCAGTGTTTGTGCCCAGGCCCCCAGTTGCTGTTACAGGCCTGGGCCCTTTACCGTTGGGCACGCCCAGGTAGCCCACGAGGCTACAAGTGTTCACTGTGATCTCATTGGCTGCTGGCCAGTGTGTGACAAAGATGCTGCATCTCATTGGCGTGCGGCCGTTCTGTGATGTGTCGGCCTCTGGTGGCTCACTTGATCGTACACCTTTTCAAAGTCGAAAAATAAGATCGCCGCTTGCATTTGTTTTTCTGTGATCTTCTTAGCCGCCTCGTTTAGAGCCATCACATTATCCAAATGTATCCACTCGGGATGAATCCTACTTGGTCGATGAGAAAGCAACTGTTTGTTAGTTTTATGATTTTGTTGGCTAATGCCTTTGCTAGGATTTTGTACGGCGTTGTGAGAAGTGAGATTGGTCTGTAGTTCTTGAGGTCCTCCTTATCTCCCTTTTTGTATATTAGTGACACTACGCTGGTGCTTAGAAATTGACCCAGGCCTCTCCTTTCCCGGCTGTCGTTGATGAAGTTCAAGAGGTCGTTGCCCAGTGTTGGCCAAAACTGGATCCAAAATTCTTTGGACAGGCCATCAATTCCTGGTGCTTTGTCATTTCCCATCTGGGATAAGGCTTCGTGAAGTTCCCCTATGGTGATTGGTTTGTCCAAGTCTTCCGTTTGTTCTTGGGTAATCGTTATCTCTAGGTAGGTCATCATGTGTTGACGGGCTTTGATGTTTGTTGTTGGGGGGGGGAGAGGGGGTTTTGGACTCCTAGAGGTTGGAGTAAAAGGACTGGCTTTCTTACCATGTCTGTGCCGGCTGACTTTGTCGTCCCCTGGTTTGCTGTGTCCTCCAGCCCCTCGATTGTGATGTTCCTTGCGTTAGCCTTGATCTTGGAAAAAAAGAATTTGGACATGGATTCATTCAGGATGTAGTCATTCATACGAGCGCGTATCTATAGGCCTTTGAGTTCCCATCTTCTCCATTCATTTAGTTCATCCTTGATAGATTGGAGTAAGTCGTGGTAGAAGGAATTGGAGGGATCCGATGCTAGGCTGGTTTTTGCGATGTGGAGTAAGATTTGTAGTTCTTCCTTCTTGTGTTTGCGTTTTGCTGCTATGCTTCTAGACTCTGCTGAGACCGTCTAAGACAGGTCCATGAAGCTGTCTATGAACCATTTGTGTCTGTCCTAGAGTTTCTTCTGGTCTGGCTGCATGAACCACCGGTTCCATCTGAGTGTCTCGGTCATGCGTTCAGTGGATAGGAGTGAGTTGTCGAGTCTAAAGAAGCCTTGTCCTTTTTCTACCGGAGAGTTGAAGTTGAGGAGCAAGTAGGTTGGTTTGTGGTCGAGCCCCTTGAAGGCTGCTGCTGGTAGGATACCGGCCTCCTTTATTGCTCCCTGCAGCATGTCTGAAATTAGGAAGAAATCGATTCGTGATAGTGATGTGTGGTTAGATCGGTTTCTCTTGACTAGGGAGAAGGCTTTCTTGCATGGGTGGAGGATTCAGAATGGGTTGACCACGTCGAACTCTATCATGATGTTTTGTAGGTGAGTGCTTGCTCTTGTGGGCCCCAACAACACTGCCCGAGAAATGCGATCCAGGCTGAGGTCCATCATAGTGTTCCAGTCGCCTGCTATAATTAGCGGTAGCGGGGTCGAGAAAAGTGATTTGATGTGGTCGAAGAAACCTTAGGCGTTCGGCTTCTGTGTTGGGGGCGTATAGGCTTAGGATTCTGATCTCTTCCCCTTGCCATGTGATTTGGATCCATGACCATCTCCCTTCCGCTGTGTCTCCTTCGTCGTTACTTACCAGACCCTCAAACCATATTTTGGAAGTAGTTGGTATGAGGATTGTTGTGCCAGGGTTGCTTTGGTCCACTTTGTTGGACCATAGTGAGAAAGGGCATCCCCCTAGGCTTTTCTCCACGGTCCTCTTTATTCTGGTGTGGTTAGTGAGGTTGGATAGGTGGGTCTCTTGTAGGAGAATGATGTCGGGTTTGGCCTTTCTTTTTTCTGCGAGGTCGAGTCCGATGTCTCGTAGTTTGTCGTCTTCGGTGAGAATGTTGCCCAGTCCGTTGACATTCCAACTGTGGATCGTCAGCCCTCTTGCTTGCCAGTCCATTCTCACTGTCCCATGCTGATTTTCGTTGTTGTCCATTCGATTACGTCTGACGGGTTGTTGTATGCAACTTTGCTTGTTTTATTTTCTTTGAGGTTGATAGATATTGTGCGGAGTTCAGTTGGGGGGGGTGGCATTGGGGTCTCTTATCAGCCGCTGCTGTGGTACCTGCGCGGCCAGCTCTGATTCCTCCGGTTCGACCGCTGCCGTCGTTTGCCCTTCTCCCGGCGATGGATCCCAGGCTGTATCCTCCCATGCTACCCTCGGGTGTTGGGGTGGTACCTATCCCGTCAGAGCTCGGGGATACCTTGTCGTTCAGCCCGTCGTCGTCGTCGTACTCCCTCATGTGCCTGTCCTCATCCGCCGGTTCCAGGTACAGTGGCACAACTCCGTCCTGTAGGCAATGTATTGTGGATAGGATGTGCGATCTGATGATGGCAGGCAGGGAATCGGCCATGACCTCCGTCGGGCACATCTTGCCTGCAAGTGTGCTGTATGGCACGGCGGTCACGGTGTTCCATGCTCTCCACACCGACCCCTCATGCAGCCTTGCTTTTTCTTCTAATTTTACAAGGAATGGTTCAAAAGATCTAGCTGTGACGAGTTCCTGGTCGATCTTGTTCGAGTCTTCCCCGAGGGGGACGGGGATTCCGTAGACACCTAAGGGGGAGTCTTCAGATATGCCTTCCCTGATTGTTCTGGCTAGTGTTCGATGGTCTCCCGCGGTCGGGAAGGCGAAGGATATGTCTGTGGCTACCTGCCACTCCCCGAACTTCTTTCTGTACCGGATGGGGACCAAGGGTCTAACTGGCTTGATAGTTTTGCGATCTGAGGTAGCTTTCTCTGTGACATGGGGGGCCTTGTTGTCTGCCACGTTTTGGATGGTGCAGTACTCGTTTTTGTGGCTTTTTTGGTATTCTGTGTTTTGATCAAACAGGCACTTTGTTTGAGCGACGATGATGGCAATCTCCTGTTTGAGGGATCGCTGCTCGTTGCCATTTCCTTCCGTGTCTGTCATTGATTTTCTGGGTCTCTTGCCCCTGCCCTTTGAGGGCTTCCACTTCTTCGGTACCATGTCTCTGATTGGGTCCTTGTGGACCTGAGTTTCTGCACTGGAGCCGGACTCCGAGCTCGAGTTGTCTCTTTCCCTCTTTTTCTCATGATATCTGAAGGCGCTGAATTCTGACAACTCGCTCTGTTCTCTCAGGACGTCGTAGGTGTTCGTGGATGCGTGGATGCTTGCTACTGGGCCCTTGCTGCTCCGGCCTGTCTTCTCCTGATGCTTCATGCATGCCATTCTGATGTCGAATTCTTTCTCCCTCTCATTTCTGGCTCTTTCCAGATATTCCTGCAGCCAGGCAATGGGGGAGTCTCCCTGTTCTTTTGGTTTGCCTACGCTGTCGCTCTTGGAGGGAGATATGTCCATTCCTTTGTGAGTACAGTCCTGACCTGTTATCGGGGTGGGGTCCAAGATCTTCGGGGCTGTCTGTGCGCTCTGTGTGTCAGCGGGGGTGCTCCCCTTATCAGTTTATTTGTTCTTTTTTATTTTCTTTCCATCCTGTATCTCGGTGTTCTCCTTTTGTGGGGCGGCCTGTCTCTTGAGGGAGGGGTCCGTCTAAAAGGTGTGTTCCTCGATGATCTGTTTGGCTGCGTTCAGGATGTCGTTGTCATCCTCTCGCTTGGCGAGGGCGTCTGAAGTCTGCTGTCTGATTGACTCAAGATCCCACAGCAGGTCTTCATGTTTCTTCTCTTCTTTGATCGCCCGGGAGTCCACCACCGGGTCTGAGTAAATTTTCCCTGGGATCCTTTTTATCTTCTTTGCTCCCACGTGGTGCCATTTGCTGTTTGATGGTGGAAAGATGTCTGGCTGTTTGATTGTCGGGGTTGTGTTCGTGTATGTCCATATCCACTTGGGCTCTAGGGTATTGTCGTCGAAGACCCAGCCGTTGTAATCTGGTCATTGACAAACCAGATACCTTTGGCCTCTTCAACTTCGACGAGCATGTTTTGTCTCAGTTTTTTTGGTTCAGGGGAGCGTGGGCATTTAGGATCTGTTCCCAAATGGCCTCTTTCTCTGCACCTGAAGCAGATTGGCGAGGCTTTGGTAGACACTGTTATTGACGTGACTTTGTCCCCAATGAGACATTGCCACTCCTCTGGGAACACCGGGGGGTCGTCCGTCCATACCTCCAGGATTGCTGTTACGGAATCGCAGTGGGGGGCCAGGAAGTCGGGCGTGGGGAGGACCCACTTTAACACTTTGTTTGCTGGGTATTGGACTTCCAATCGGTCCTTAATCAGGGGATGGCCTCTGGGTGGGATGTTGTCGAATTGTACCCAGAACTGCTCTGACCCTACACCGCTGTTTGTAGGAGGCAGCCGGTGAGACTTCAGCTCGTTGGGCTGTCTCCGGTTTCCGGCGTGACAGGGTGCAGACAGATCCATCGCAGTTTAAGGTTTCACATTTCTCCAACATGTGCGTTGCCTGGTCTGCATCTTTGAAGACCACGATCATCATGGTTCTACCCAGGCCTAGCAGGGAGAACTTGTCAACCTCTGTTTTGATGTTCTCATGTTCCTGAATGGTTTTCACCAACCATTTCCTTTTCTCGATGGAGAAGAGTCTCGCACCGGCATTGGAGAAGGAGAAGATGAGTGCGTGCTTCTCGTATGTTGCGTTGGTGTCGGCGATCTTGTCTTTTGGGTACGCCCAAGCGGTCACTTCCTTATCGGTATTGTCTTTAACGTTTCTGACCTTGATTGTGACTCTCTCCCCTTTAATTTTTGGGGCTTCCAACAGGAAGCGAAGTGTCTCATGATCCACGTTGGATGCGATTTGGGATGAGTCCTTTGAGGTGGCTGTTTTTGTTGCTGTAGCGGCGTTGGTAGTTTTGGGCCATGCTTGCTGCTGTGCTTTTGTTTTTTCTTCAATGTGTGTGTGTGTGTGTGTGTTTGTGAGTGTGTGAGAATCCGGGGCACTATCTAGTTTTTAAGGTCGTCCTCAAGTTTCTTTTTTTTTCTTTTTTTTTTTCTCATATAGATTTCGTGACGGTGTGTGTCCTCGGTGATCCAGTGTTGGAAAGGAGGGAGGGGATGGGACAGTCGAGCTGGTGTAAGAGGGGAAAGGGGGGGGAGAGGGGAGGGAGCCGATTCAGTGTTTTCTTTTTTTTGTTTTCCCTCGACAGTGAGTGGTAGGTGGTAGTGGGGGAGGAGAGTGTGTTATGCTCCCCTTTCAGCGGAGTGTGTTTACTTAATGGTGAGGAATAGTGACGTGGAGGTTAGATCTTGTGAGAAAATCGTGCAGGGGGCAGTTTGAGTGGGGGAGCTTGAGTGGGGTGGGCATGTGTTTGTTGTGTTGTGGGTGTGATGTGGGTGAGTGGGGTTTTGAGGGGAGACACGTGCGTGTTGGATGCAGGGTACAAGCTGGAACAGTAGGGCTGACGGGGCGACGAGGTGGGGTCTTGTGTTGCGAGATTCGTGGTGTTTGTCAGGCGAGAGAAGCAGGTTGGGGGGGGCTACCGTGTTGCACCGTCTAGGATGGGCTGTGGGTGTGCGGGGATCGTTGGAGATGGGGTGGGGGGCTGGAGTCGTGAGAGCAGAGGGAGGGGGGAGAGACGGAGTGTGTGTGAGTGCAGCAGAGGTGGGAAAAAATGAGGCGCTGTCAGCAGGAGATGGGTTGTGGGATGATGTGACCTTACGGGGAGCTTTATCCGGCTGTTGTTGCCGTGGCGAGGAGGGGGGTGGGGAATACGGTGTGATAGGGCTTGGATCAGGGCGGGTAGGGGAGGCTAGCTGTGAGAGGCGGATCTTGATGCTACTTGAGTGGGTGTGTGTGCGGCTGGGATATACAGGGCCCGTGTGGTGTACTGCTTGTGCCTGAGGGCGGGCTGTGGGCCGCCGGGAGTGGGTTAGTATAGAGGAGTAGGTTAGTATAGAGTTGTGTCCTATTATGAGAGAGCTAAAAGATGAATTAACATAGTTGACAGATAAAGCTGATAACTTTCTCGGAGGACCTAGAAATTAGGCCGGCCAGAGTGAAAGGCCTTTCGAGTTTCAGGGTCAAAGGCCTGGGCCAAGAAAGGCCAAGTCGGTCAGTCTCACAGAAGCCACAATCGGGTACCCTAGGGGTCAAGTCCAACAGGCACCCAGCGAACAGTCACATCCCAGGGGCGAAAATCACGCCTCATAATGAAAAGTCATATTGGAAAGTCACATCCCACGGGCAAAGGACACTTTCACAGGCAAAAGTTTGTGTCCTAGAGGCAGGAGTCACAAACCACAGTCAAAAGCCATGTGCCACAATCGAAAAGTTGTGACTCACAGGCCCAAGCAGCAGCACACCAATGAAAATTAGGGAAAGGTACCAGGCCCTGACATTTGGAAACAAACAGGCCGTGGGGATGTGGTACCGAAACCAAGTCAAAGCAGAGGCTGGCACGAGTTGAAGTCCGGTCCAAAGCAATATAAGGACTGGGCAGCCTCCTCATTCGGCAGATTGCTCATTCGCATGAAGTGTGGAAGTGTTGGTGCACTTGTGCGCTATTGTGAGGGGCAAAGCGCTGAGCCAGGGAGCTGCTCTAGTTGAGGGAGAGAGAGGGAGCAGCCATAGCTGCCCAGCGCTGGCAGAGGGAAGGCAGCCATAGCTGCGCCAGTGCTTAGTAGTTAGTAGTAGACCTCAGAGGGGTTAGTAGAGTTAGGAGTGGGTGTATTCAGAGTTGGTCCTTGAGTAGTAGAAGGTGTGAGTGCATGCAAGTAGGCTTTCCGTGGTGATGATGTCTTGGGCTATGGTTACTTACTCGCTCCTTCCTAGCCACGCCCGAGGGCGTGACTTCCTTGCTCGGTTTCCGGTCCAGGTTCAAAAGAAATGGTGCGGAAAAATCGATTTCGACGTGGTGAGGCTCTGCATGTGGAAGGTCCCCGTAGGGCGCTGAGGTAACCGGGCGCGAAATTAGCACAAAATAGCGCTAACCTTGGGCGCTAGCGTCTTCGGATAGGAATGTTGTTAAAATGTGCAAGACAGGAAATTCCACTAGACAGGAATACACCACGGACATTGCATGTGTATTGACAATGCTGCATTGAACTTCTGGACATGTGTGGCTGGGTTTGTGTGGTGACAGGGGTTTGAACACGCCTGCTTTATGGGGTCCGAAAGTGGGCAACAGCTGGCGGACAACAGGAGATATTGAGCCTGGCTGGACATCGTATGGTGCTCATTCACTCGTTGCCTACTCCTGCAATTGAAATAATCCGACTCCTTTTTCATGATTCTTTGGAGTTCTTGTAGACTCGAGTCAAAAGCATTTTTGGGGAAAAGATGTATGCAAAATCGTTGGCACTCTAGGGGCGAGGTCCCACTATCAAAGAGGATTGGATTAAGCGCCTGAATCTGGACGCGTTTTATGCAGAGATGAAGAAAAGCAGTTCAATTTCTATCTTGTGCACCTTTTCACAATCAAGTCCAGATTCAGGCATCCAGTCCAATCCTCTTTGCTAGTGGGACCTCGCCCTAGGTGACATCTGGTGGACAACAGGAATTTTTTCATGACTTCTTGCAAGTTCTTTTCGACTTATTCTGTTTGGCATTTCAAAGTATTTTTGGCATACATGCGGTGCATTGCGAGGCGCTGTACTGCGCACGTGCGCCGCACCGCGCATCCCGCACGACGCGCGCGCACTGCATGCGGCGCACCTCCAAAAATGGGGGTCGAAAAAAAAAAAAAAAAAAGTTGTGAGGGGCGGTAGTAGACCCAGCCCCCTGCTCGCGTAAAATAAGAAACGGGCAGCCAATTTTTTTTTGGAGGCCACGCATTGGCCTGAAAGCTTTTAGTAACCTGTAGTCCGCGTAACACTGTGTGTGTATGGTAGGGTTCTTGCAGGCCAGATTCAGTCATGATGAGGGTCGCGATCTCTCAACATTTTACTTCTGAAGTAGAAAATGACCGAACTGACAGCCGTTTTTCCTGGAGTTTTATTTTTTTTAATTAATTAAAAAAAAAACGTAAAGGAAGAAAATCAGCGGAACTGACAGCCACTGCCTTCTTTGAAAGGGTGACGTCCTCGAGACATCATGGGCCTCGCCACACAGCACACAAAACGAAAACGAAATGAGTGCATCTGCCCACGAAAGATGGCAAAATACACTCGTTACTATTTATAGCAAACCGATGAACCTGGCCATTCTCTGCAGAAAGATGCAATCGTTTCGTTTTTTGTTTCGTGTGTCGTACGGCGACGCCCCATGATTGATTGGCCAGGCCCAGGGAGTTCATTTCAAAAAAAA